AGCCTAGAAACCTTTGTTGCGGGCTTGGAGACTGTCCTTGTCAACCTGCGACAGCTCAAAGCTTACCTGGAATGGATCACAAACCAATTGGTGAGTCCTACTCGCCTCTGCCGGGGCCTCCTCGCTCATGTGCACGACAGAGTCAACGAACTCTCTTATCAAGCGTCTCGACAGGGTTATCTAGTAACCGTTCCTGTTCATCTGCGCTTATGGATCTGTTGGATCGCGCAAGCAGAGCTTCAAAGAAATCGAGGAGTCGCTGCTGCCGTTGTCCGGACTCTGGAAAGGACGACTCGCCAACGGCTCCGGCAAGGGTGGAATTTAATATCCCTGGCAGTCGCACACTGCCAACAGTGAGCTGATTCATTAGGCAACATTAAGACGTTCAGCCTTACATTATAATTATGTAATTATGTGACAGTATGATATTATTCGATTATGAAGGTGGTTTGGCTATTGTATGTTATGATTGAATATTGAAATACCTTGCTTGCAAGTTTTCTCTGAGGGTACAATCGGTTCGTTTTTCGATGTCGACTCTCAGGAAGGCTGTTGACAGACGTAGATCGAAGAGAATGAGTGGGGGATGAAAAGTAGTGCAACCTGACGATGGCCAGTCATCTATATGGCCTACTTTTCTCCTTCCACAAGTCCAGGGTATCCAACTGCGTTTCCAGCCAGTTTCGACACCTTTACAATTGGAAATTTGGAACTCCTCTGAGACAGCTATACGAGAAACATCATGCCTGACAGCCCCGGACGCCTATTTTCACGTCGCATCGCGGCGGCCCGCCGCCACTAGTGGCGAAGTTAAGCTTTGCCGCCCCTTCCGCTGGCCGCGCTCGATGGTGACACGCTCAGTCTTGCGGGCTGCGATCAACATCATGAAGGCCCAGATCTAGCACAGCGGCTTCCGCTACTGTCGTTGTCCCGATATCCGCTCACTTCAATGGCAGTTGTCGAGGGCAACATGCTTCGTCACGAGTGGCCCTTCTGCGCGCTTGTAATCTCAGTATTGCTGGGTATGAAAAAAACTCCGAAGCGTGTCCTCGGCGATAGGATTATCATGAACTGAAAGTAAGTAAGGCAACAAAATCGCGTCTGCAAATCTTGTTGTTTCGCAGTCGGTTTTGCATGTCAACACTGAACATTTCTGTATCTGCATTAATGTATTTTGCCTCGATTTGCATTCTATCCTTTGGGTGTATTTACGACCACATTTATTTTATCGTTTCCGCACTGAAGCTAGGAGTGTTGGAAGCAGAGCTGTCACGGTGGCACCTGTGCTAAACCAGTGATCAGTTTACATTGCATCCGATGCACACAGACATCGGAACGCCGTCGACAAGATGTTCAAAATCGCCTCTCGACTCCCAACACCACCGACATCTAGTCCAAATGCCGCTGCCTACTCCGAGCACCACAAGGCTCGAACTTTTGAAGATCATATAGATGCCGTACACGCCGTAGTAGTTTTTTCCCGATAGACGACGAATGGTGACGTCCTCACTCGACAAGGCGCTTCGTCTGTGGGACTTGAGGACAGGCGCTATGTTGAAGAAGATGGAGGGGCACCGCGACTGGTGCACGCAGTGGCGGTATCACGAAACGGGCAAATGATAGTAAGCAGTGATAGTTGTGGAGAGGTCATCGCCTGGCACGGAGAATCTGGAGAAAGTCTCATCAAAGCTATCAAAGCTCACCCCAAAAGTTGGACCCAGGGTTTAGACCTTTCTCCTGATGGAACAATGCTAGCCACTGGTTCGCATGATAGAACGGCAAAAATTTGGAGCACAACATCATGGCAGATGCAAGGAAATCCAATCTCATGTAGTGGGGAAGTCCGCAGCCTTCGGTATTCGCCCTCTGGTGATCATGTTGCGATCGCAACATTTGGCGATATCGAAATATATGATTCAGTCACTAGGGAATGTGTAGCAAACTTCAAGGTCACACTGCAGAGAATGGCTCACCCTTGTGGACACCCGATGGCACACGACTTCTCTCAGGAGGTGATTACCATGATCCGACCATACGGGAGTGGGATACATCGACCTGGAAACAGATCGGTGATCCTTGGACGGGCCACACTCACAACATCAATAACATTGCCATTAACCCTGCTGGCACACTCATCGCTTCTGCATCTACTGACAAGCAGGTCCACCTCTGGCGCCTCTCAGATCGACGATCCATCGCCACATTCCAGCACTCCGCCTGGCTGGCATGTGTCACTTTTCCTTGGACGGCAAGTATATCCTCAGTGGAGGTGGTGACAACATGATCTCAGAGTGGGAAGTACCGAAGGACGCTAATTCAAAGGCAAATTTCCATCTTTGACTTGTGAAATATGGTCCGAACGTGCTGTATCCAGATTCAACTCACTATGAATTCGACAGCACGCCATGCGTGCATAACTGGGAACTTGTCATCAGCTGAGGAACTACTCACGCAAGAGATCGACACTGATGCGAACGATTATGCCTCCTATGCTAACCGCTCATTTGTCATGGCGCGAAAACATGACTGGGACCACGCGCTCGATGATGCAATCAAGGCAAGTATGACAGCAATCCATCATTTTATCCCTTACGATTCTAAATTTCATCGTGACATAGTCCATCAGCATTCAGCGCTCCTTGACAGGCTATATCTCCAAGGGTATCGCCCTCTGCGGAAAAGGGCTGGTTCGCGGACGCAAGAATAGCATTTGGTCTTGCATTCATGTTCACGAATGAAGATTCAACAACCATTCATTACTTCTCTTGATCGAGGTAAGTCAAATTTATCTTGCATACTTCCTGTTTCATCACGTATTTCAGGCCATCGTATTGTTCAATACAGATTTACATGAGGAAGCAATGCTACTTGTGAAAGAGCTAGCTGTCGATTGTCCGAATGCCGATACTGTCGCATGTCGTGTCGTGGAAGTGAGTATCATGCGATAGGCTGAGGCATCAACACTGATCGCATATTAGGCGTATCTAGGTGTTCAATCTGGGATCAGTGCCTTGAATGGCGTCCATTATGATGAAGCTGCTGGGCACTTCACTGTCGCTGTCAAATCCTGCACTTTCGCATCATCGTGGCCTATTCATGCTATATACGAGGACTTCGTGATGGTATGTTGATATAATGGAATCGAAATGCTTCACATTGCCAACTTCGTCCTTCATCCAGCTTTTCGGGTGGGACCTCAAGTCCTTGTGGTTGACTGCACACCAGAAGCGGTGCCAGGCTTTCCTTTCGGCAAATAATCTTGAAGAAGCCCTCGAATCATACCGGTTCATGATGAATACCATTCATCAAAGTACGAAGGCCAGCTGCCTCAATTGGTGCACTGGCAAGTTTTTCGTAATATTACTCTGTGCTATCGTCTTCACTCCCAATTTTTATTCAGTGTTTGAGCAAGAATGTGGCGCCCTCTATTTTTCCAATGGAGATACTGCCCTCGCTGCAAGTGATTACGAAATTACTGACTTATCCTCTGTGGCAGTCAACTTTGATTCTGCAAGCTACGCGCTCTTCGCAAATCATAGTAAGGTAATGTTGGGGAAAATGCTATGGGACGAAGCGCTTTTTGATGCGCAAAAGGTGCGATAACGTCTACATATGATATCGTATCAAATACTCACCTTGGCAATACATAGGTCATCGATCTCAACCCTGAGTCTCATGTTGGATACCAGTTAAAGCACGCAGCGCTCCGCGGTGCACGATGCTATGATAAAGCCATTGAGGCTTTCAATATAATGTTGTCCAAGTTGGAAGATGCTCCCGAAGCGCAGTTCCGGGGTGGGCCTCCAAATATTCATGGGTTAACTGTAACATGCTTATCTCGGCATATAGAGTTGCGTCAGCAATATGTCTCTCCATCTGATGTAGAAGACGCTATTCGAAGAGCCATTTGGATCGAACTTGAAAATGCCCCGCTGCGTCTACTTAACACCCACACGGGTCTCTTGTGCGGTCGAGGGGCACAGATTAATGCCTTCAAGATGAGCACAGAGTACCAGGAACTTTTGTCATTCACAACGAAGCATGCGGACCTACGAGTGGAGCGCATAACGGAAGTGGTGGCGATATATTTCCGCCGTGTCCTGCTGTCACACAGGTGGGACGACACGGAGTTGCTGTTTCATGACATCCAAGACAAAGTCGTGTATGAGATGAATGCACTTGGCGGCCTCCCGAAATTGCAGTTTTTCTGCAAAACTGCTCGCCATGCCGGTTATCTCTGGGCATGGATGGATACATGCTGCATTGATAAGAACAACAATGCTGAGCTCCAAGAATCCATCAACTCCATGTTCGCCTGGTACCGCCACTCAGCCCTTACCATCGTCTACCTGGGCGATGTCTCTCCTTCATCCAACGCTGGTGCACTGGCGAGGAGTGCCTGGAACAAGCGAGGGTGGACCTTTCAAGAGTTCGTCGCTCCCAAAATCGTTGTCTTCTACCGGAACGATTGGTCATTATATCTCGACGATGACTCTCCCAACCACAAAGAGTCCCCTGCAATCATAGAGGAGTTAGAGCGTGCAACAGCCATAGATGCACGAGCCCTCATATCCTTCCGTCCAGGGATGAGGGGCGTTCGAGAAAAATTGCAATGGGCGTCGACGCGCATCACCACGTTGCAGGAAGACATTGCATACTCATTGTTTGGCATCCTCGGTGTCCACCTACCTGTAATTTACGGAGAGAAGAAGCAGAACGCACTCGGACGGCTTCTCCAAGAGATCGTAGCTCGGTCTGGCGATATCACTGCCCTCGACTGGGTCGGACAATCATCCGAGTTTAACAGCTGTCTTCCAGCGACATTACCTCATACACGGCTCCACCATGCGCCCTACCATCCTTATCCGAAGATCAGATTCAGATGATGGTCTCTTCGCTGCGAAATGCCGTGTCTGTGGAGTTGGCTTCAAACCTTTACGCCCTGCTTGACAATACAAGCGCCCCTCGCTTTGCGAACTGCAGACTACATCTGCCTTGCATCGCATTCCGTGTCACAGAAGTCAGACGGAGGCTTGGTCCAGCCCAAGAGACTAATTTCACGTATGGAGTCAAGGCAGATGGGCTTCATGACTTGCTGATCAACACGGAAGAGACGATGATTCAGTTCTCGCGAGCAAGGCCTACTTGGCAGACAGTCTTACTCGTTCGCCCGTGGAATCGATACCTCCTCGAGCTTCCTGTCTTTGCAGGACTGTCTGACTTCGGAGACGATACGGAGAGCGAGGATGGTTATTGGTCCGCGCCCGGGTCGCCGATAGACGAGTCGCGCCGTGGTTCCCCGGTAGAAGAGGAGCTGGTCGATCTGGAATCTCACTCACAAGCGTTGCGGTTGATTGCCCGCCTTGGTCAGCCTTTCAGCGCTTTGTTGCTAGCGCAGCAGCGCGGTGGAGAATACATGAGGATCGCTTCGGATCATGATATCATTGCACAAGTCAAAGACATGGCTTCTGTCGACAACATGATGGACGTCAGAACCCTAGAAATATTGTAGTTGTATGTATTTTTTCAAGAGGGTCAAAATTATAAAATCTGTCTGTGGACATTCACTTTTTGCATATGTTGTACCATGTTGGTACTGTAGCAAAGTCTCCTCTGGTCTTCGTCATCTCTCCCTTTGACTTCTATTGCAATACAAGGCAGATACAGTCTGCAGTTCGAGAAATTTACAAGCGAACCCCCTGTCAGATTCCCACTACGGCAGCAGTACGGCCAATGATCTATATTGACTTTGATTGTGCAAAAATGCATGATCAATATTGAAATATCGTATCGTATCGATATCAGGCTAGAGGCCGTTGTGGAGCCGACCAGTGAAGGTACAATATTAAAGCAATCATTGGCTAGTTCCAGCTAGTGCCATCGAAAGTTTGATCACCCGATCATCATGGATGCCCGCACTGCAGTGCAGGATGACGGTACGAGTTGCGCATTTCCCTACTACCTGACATGGCCGACGGTCCGACGGGAAGCCTCTCCTTGCAATACGCCGGTCAGGTCATTTCGAATATTCACTTACATAAAAATTTTGGGACTTGGGGGCTATTCTTAGAGCCGCTTGACAGAAACCAGAAGCCTTTACTTAAACTCCCAGATCCCAGACTACTAACATGCAAGACAAGATCTTTCCTTGTGCCTGCGACCATGTCTATCTCGGAAGAAAGCCCTTTGTTGGATGCGCTGCACGTCCCTGACGCGTCTGACGACTGGGACGTGTACAACCGATTCAGCAAAGCTCAGAAAAAGTTCATTGTTTTTGTAGTGTCCTTTGCAGGGCTGCTTCCTAGTGCGCATAAGGCAGATAAATTGATTCAGCAGAGCTGATTTTGATTCTCTAGCGCTCGTGACTGGGACCTTTGTCCCTTCCATTCCTCAGATAGCTCATGACCTCGATTCAAATGGAGCTGTTGTGAGGTATGTTTTCCAAATCCTGCAGCATGAACTAGATGATGACCTTAAATTGGTCTGTCCTCAGCTTGGCTGTAAGCTTGTCAGTCTTTGCGAATGCTGTTGGAGGTTTGGTATGGGCAGCATATTCGTCATTTTGTAGGTTTTCTACAGTTATTGTGCTTGAACCTAAACCTGATTTTCGCCTGAAGATGGTCGCCGTCCGATGTACTTATGGGGTATGCCTATCCTATGCGTAGGAAGCTTTGGTGTTGCAGCATCGATGTCTCTCAAAAGCCTACTGTTCTGGCGGTTCGTTCAGGCATTTGGATGCGCTGGCGGAGTATCGGTAGGTGCGGCCGTTATTGGTGATATCTACAGGGCAGAGCAGCGAGGTACAGCCTTGGGTATCTTTTTTGGGGTGCGTGTGTTTTCTTATAATGCTTGATCAAAATATCGGCGACTTATCATTTCTTGTGAAGGCGTCTCTTCTAGGTGTCGCACTTTCACCTATCATAGGAGGCACTGCAGCACACTACTGGTCCTGGCGCAACCTGCACTTCTTGCTTGGAGTATGGGGCATCATCGAGATGTTTCTGATCTATCTATCCTTTCCGGAGACAAGTCATCCGCAGTCGGGAGAAATTCGTAAACTGGCGGCACTGCCAAATCATCTGCAGTCGGGCGAGACTCGTAAACTGACATTACCGTTCAACTTTGTGTTGATTAATCCTTTCAACAGTCTATGGCTGCTCCGCAGTCCTAATATTATGGCCGTCGTTCGTTTTTGCTTTTATTCTGACCGCACACTGCCTGAAAGTCGTGTTCTCAGACATTAGCAAACGCATCAGCGATGGTTACGGACTATGGTATGCTGAGAATGCCGATGTCATCTTCCAAACCTATTTACCTATGCACTAGTTTTATTGGTCCCAATTGCCTACACGATCGTGAGTTTGTCATACTATTCAATCATGTGATCAGCTAACATCTGCTTTCAGGGTGCTCGATACCACATCTCTAACGAAGCATTGATCGGTGCATGCTTCCTCCCCAGTGGACTTGGAAACTTCAGTACGTGCACATTCTGTTGTTCAAGTGTCTTAATATTCAATGTAATGTGCGCCCAAGTTGCATCACCGATTGCTGGGCGGTTGTCCGACACTATGATTGCCAAATGGAAGGTAAAGCGCAAAGGCGTTTGGGTCCCCGAAGATCGGCTACGTGCCGTATTAGTAGGCGGACTTCTAGTCCCTCTATCTGTTGGTCTTTCGGGACTTGTTACCGCGTACATCGCTGGACCGTTGGGCTTGGTATTGAATTTGCTTTGTTTGTTTCTGAATGGCATTGGGGTGAGTCGCACACTGGCACATATCTTTGTGGATTGCAAACCTTGTGTTTTATACAGGTAGACTTCGTTCTTACTCCGATCGGCTCGTACAACGTCGACGTATTACAATCACGCAGCGCAGAGGTAATTGCTGCCGTTACGTGAGTCACGCCCAAAGCCAGTGGTCAGCTCCATACTAACTAATACCGCAGAGCTTTCCGCGCGATCATTCTTGCACCAGTGACTGCAGCCGTACTTCCATCGATTGAAATGCTAGGCGTGGCAGGAACAAATGGTATAGCTACAGTGATTGCGCTTGTTGGATATGCGTGAGTGCTGTTGTAGAATATTTGCAGTACCGCATCTCATACTGGTGTATAGGCTTATCGTTCTCACGATTCGTTATGGAGATCGCATGAGAGCTTGGGTGGATGTTGGATATACACCCCTGTGAATCAAAATCAACTAGACTTGAATGGTTGCCATTTTCTTTTCCTCGTACTCAATCTGAAAATGGGAAATGCGTGTGTTTGCCACCATATAAAGACCGGGCTTTAGTCTTGCCCCACAAGTACTAATGTCGTGTATTATAATTATTTAGAAAATGCATCAAGGGTATACTGATTGTACATCATTAGCGGTATCCTTCGGACAGAGCGAGCCAGGGCGACAATCAAGAAAGCTCGCTGTCGGACAATATGTTGCCTGTGTGATGAGAATGAGCGCATTTCGATAAAAGGTTCTGATAAATGATTGAGATAGATATACTTTCAGAAAGCACAACTTAGAGGGTTGGATTTATCAGTGGTCGCAAGATGCTTGAACATCACGACATTCCTTTTCTTTGAGAGGTTCATCTGATGAAGGGCTATCGCCGATTTTAGTGAACCGCAAAGCTTAGGCAATGCATGTTTAACGGTGGTCGTACAACTTGCGAAGGTTGGCTTCACTTTGTAAGGCTAAGTGTGAGTTTGGTAGGGAATTGCGAACAAAAACGATTCAGAAGAGAGACGAGTTTGATAGTTTCGAGACGAGTTGGGAAACGGCCGTGACAGAGACTCTCTGAGGGACTTTTTGGTCGTGCTTGGAGCGGGGATCTGACTCTAAGATTCGCTGTGGGTAGGAGAGTACATGAGCAGTATATATACGTTTTTGAATACTTGACTAGGCCGGAACGAGAACATGAAGCGTAAGGCGAGGTGAAAATACTTCGGTGAGACAAGGAGATGGTGAGGTCTGAGCACAAGGTAAAGTAATGAAAGAAAATGGACAAAGGAGATGAAGGAATGTATCCACGTAACTCGGATGCGAAGAGTTTGCGCTCTTCGCATCAATGAGTCACGTGGATGAGTGCGACCGCGTGGTTCGTTGGTCTTCATTTTGAAGCTTGGTCAGGGTGTAGAGAATATGGAATCCTTACAACTTGATCAGATGAGATTGTGATGGGTTAAGAAATTGGGAGTGATGAACAAGAGTAACTTACAGTCAATATATTAATAAACAGTGAGCAAGCTTGATGGAATCAACACCTACAGCGTGGGGCATGAAAGTGAATTACTTTTCATGGACAGACTACCACATGAAAAAGAGGTTTTAGGCGCAATGACTGGGCCTCTATAGTCAAGATGAACCTCCGAGGATCTACACGCCACAAAAATATTGTCAGTAGGTTTCGAACCAACTCCAAGAGAAACAGATTTTGAGTCTGTGGTGGTAACCACTTGGCTAAGACCAGTTAGACGGATCTCTGAGGAAACCATCCATAAATCAATGTCAGGGTGTGTTCCGATAGGAAAAACTTCATTCTGCAGGTTCCGAACCTGCGCAGTCCAAGAGAAACAGATTTTGATTCTGCTGCGGTAACCACTTGGCTCCAGTGAGATGAATATCCGACGAAGTTATCCATGAGTGAATTTCGAGCGTGTTCGGATAGGGAGGTTTGACGAATTTTTGATTCTGTTGACCAGATAAGATGGACCTCCAAGGGGGCCATCCACGAGTGAATCTTTAAGGCATTTCCGATAGCCTTGTCATCGACAGGTTTCCAACCTGCGCTGGCAGTCTAAGAGACAGATTTAGATTCTGTCGTGGTAACCACCTTGTCCAGGACGAAGTTGAGATGAACTACTAAGGAAACCATCCATGGGCAAATCTTTCCGGGTCAAGACCTGTTCCGATGAGGAAAAAAAACCTGTTGATTGGCAAGTTTCGAACCTGCACAGTCCAAGAGAAACAGATTTCGATTCCGTTGTGATAACCACCGAGCTAAGACCAGTTGGATGAACCTCCGATGAAACCATCCATGAGTGAATGTCAAGGTGTGTTCCGAAAGAAAAATCAAACTTGTCGTCGCATGCTTCGAACATGCGCAGTCCAAGAGAAACAGATTTCGATTCTGTTATGGTATTCACTTTTGCCAGTACGCTTTGCAAGTTGAGATGAACCTCCGAAGAACTGTCCATGAGCCTATGAATGTCAAGGTGTGTGATAAGACATTCATCAGCAGCGCACCACCCCAAAATTTCTAATCTGTTCTGGTGCCACTTGGAGGCTATGACTACTTAAGATAGACCTTGAAGGATCCATCCATGAGTGGATGTTCAAGGCGTGATAAAAGGAAAAAGATCGGCTGAGCAGGTTTTGAACCTGCAACAGATTTCTGCACAGCGACAGTCCCGTCAC